GGAGGACATATATACTAGCGTCCTCCTATGACCCATAGCTCAGTATATCGCGAGCTACAGCTCGCGGTATACTGAAACCAACGCAGCTTCCTTGTCACATGTCGCAGTTTCATTTTCACGCGTCGGCTCGAACTAGGAGGATGAGTTATTTTCACTCACCTTCCTGGCCGGCCGATGTAAAAAAACGGCTGGCCGGGTGCTTCTTGGACAGGCCGTATATTACATCACTTCCGCATTCTTGTGTCACTCTCCAGCTTCAGAAGCTGGTGAGAAGCTGATGAAGCAGATCTCTGCTTCATCAGCTTCTTTGGTGGTAACATTAGTGGTCTTGAAGACCCCTGATGTCTCCATAAAGAGGACCTGTAACATATCTTTCCTATCACATAGGGGGGTTTCTTAGCCCCCTATGTAATAACAATAAAGTTAAAGTGACATTAAAGTAAAAAACAAATTCCCTCCCCCCAATGTTAATGTTAGCACTTAAATGAGGTTTCTTAATCCGATCTTCCTCTTCTTTCCTGATGTTTTCATCTGTCCTTCCAGCGGTCCGTCGGCTCTCCAATCCAGCGCTGACTCCTCTCTGCTTGCTGGCACTTCCGATCCAGCGGTGTCTGCATGCGGATGCCCGCGTCCATAGACTTACCTTGCGTCTCTGCTAGTCCACTATACCACCAAAAGAAAGCTCTATCTCTCCCCAAAAAATGATATAAAATTAAATTTCAGTACAGCGTTGCATGACGGAATAAATGTCAGTCAAAGTACTGCAGCACTAAATACTGAAAAATGGCCTGGCCAGGAAGGGGGTGTAAACACCTGGTCTTCAAGTGGTTAAGGCACCAATACACAGCCTAGATCGAGAGCACCATTGCTTTCTACTGCAGTGCACCATATGTGTGTAACCAGGATTGTAGTGCACTGCAGTACGGCCGTGTTGTATTTGTGCGTTGAGATGCCATTCAAAATAAATAGCACTACAACGCAACACGGTTGTCATGCATTGCAGTAACATATAGTAAAATGTGCATTTTACCACGTTACCACATTGCACAGGTGTGAATGAGCCCTAAAGCACAGTCACCGTGCAACAATAAAATTAAATAAGCACAAACTACATATGTAATGAGTAACTATTTCTGCTTCACTTCACAAATATTTCCATGCTTTAATACATTACCACAAATAAAATGTTTAAAAGATTATACTCCGTTGAAAAGACAAAACCATTTTAGAATCTTTTGCACAAGCTTCTGAGAAAGTCAAGCATTTTTAAAGAGAACTTGGATTTTAAAAAGGTGCCAGCTCTGAGTTTTCATTCTGATCCTGACTGCACTAGTTAGTGGGACACTGACCTAGAAAATGCAGGATGAGCATACATACCTTAAGACTTCACCGACTGCATGTTAATTCTAGGTCAGTGACTCCGTAGGTTGTGAAGTTGTAATCTGGATGACAATCTGTATGTAATCTGGATAGAGGAATCTCCCATTGGGCCAAACTTCAGTATTTTGCTAGTCGGCCCCACTGGCTGTCAAAATACCTGAACAATCTGACTGGATGCAGGCATTGTTCAGGTGTTTTGAGAGCCAGCGGGGCCGACTAGCAAGATTCTGGAAGGTTGGCCCAGGTGGAGATTACTCCATCCACACAGTTAAGTGTAGATGGAGGAATCTGTTGCACCTTTTCCATCTGACCACAGAAAATCTGCAGATAGTTGTAAGGTGTATGGCCAGCTTAACTGAGCTGAAGTGAAGGCAACCAAAGCATGTTCGGCTATTCACAGCAGCTGTGTACATCAGCTGCCCTTGGCCTGCTTCACTTCCCTTCGGTTCACCCGAACAGCCTCAGCACGTTCGTCTGAACTGAAGGGAAGAATCAATTCGCCTCTGCTAATGCAACATCTGGATCAGCTGATGCAAACATTCGTCATTTTATTCATTGCTGTGCACCCCTATTCTTATAATTCCGCCAAAAAATGTTTGGGTTCCCCCCAAAAGTCATTCCAGACCCTTTAGGTCTGGTAGGAATGTTAAGGGGCACCCCAATGCCCAAAAAATGAAAAACATTTAAGGGGGACCATGGGGTCCCCCTTAAAATTCCCAACCAGACCCTTAATCCAGGCACAGGCCTGGCAGGGCAGGAAAGGGGGGATGAGGGAGAGTGCCCCCCCCCCCTAGGCTATACCAGGCCACATGCCCTCGGCATTGGGAGGGTGCTTATCTAGGGAAGGCTTATTTTCATCTGCGTACCACCCAGATGCAACCCCCCCCTTTTGAATGAGTAAAGGTGTAGTTGGTACCCCTACTCATTCAGCAAAGGGTCAAGTGGGACTTTTTGATTTCGGTGAGTCCGCCGGCGTCGTTCATCGTGATTGACGCTGGATTGCATAGATGGAAGACGTTGATTGACCATGGATTGCAGCGTTGCACGATTTAATTTTTTTGGACAATAAAGGAATTGTCAAAAACTGTCTGTTTTTTGTTCAATGAAAGGATTTTTTCTAACGTGTTGTCTGGTTATTTACTTAACCTTTTGGTGAATGAGTAGGGGTAACAACTACCTCTTACTCATTCACAAGGGAGGACAGATAAGCCCCCATGTCCGCAGACCCCCACAACCACGGGGCCAGAGTTGTGAAGAAGGGGCCCCTGTCCTCTTTGACAATGGGGACAAGGTTCTTTTCCAGGGGGAGGGGGGGCGAGGGCATGTGGCCTGGTATGGTGCAGGGAGGGAAGGTGCTCACTTGTCCCTTTCCTGCCCTGACAGGCCATTGCTTGGATTAAGGGTCTGGTTGGGGATTTTAGGGGGACTCAACTTTTTGTAAGTTTTTTTTGGGTGTTGTGGCCTCCCTTAAAATTCCTACCAGACCCCATACACCTTTTCTTTTTTTTCAATTTTTTTTCTAACATCGGGGTCCCACCTAACATTCCTACCAGACCCAAAGGGTCTGCTATGATGTAGGAGAGGGAATCCACACAGTTTTCTTAAAAATTCTATTTTTTAACAATTTGCGGGGAGTCAGTCTGCTTCGGCTGGGTCTTTGGCTGAAGCATATGCGTTCGGCACAGCTGTTTCCTTCGGCTGCTGTACGAGCTATTGTGAATAGCCCATACAGCAGTCCTTCGGTTCGGCTGCACCAAAGGCTTCCTGCAGCCAAAGCGAACCAAAGGATCGGCTACATCCTTTGGCACTTGAATAACCCCCCCCCAAGTCAGCAGTGGCCGCTGCATAAGTCCTCAAAAGTTCACTTTAAGTAAAATTTTATCGACTTATTAATAGGAGAAAATGATGACTAAGAAACTGATGACAATAAATGCTGATTTTAACCATTTTAGAGCATCCTGGTGCATGCCATTGGTTTTACAGTTTTAGAAAAAGTTAAACAAATTGATAATTATCACATAAATATGCAAAACAGGGGCTGTTAATCACATTGGTGTGGACTGAAAAGAGCGCCATTTTTATTCTTTATTACTTATGTTTTTAACTACTGTACTTACCCCTAAGAATGCTAAAAACACACAACGTATTCATTTTATTGCACACTTTCTAAAAATATTCTTATTAACTAGTTCCCAGCCTGGGTACGTCTATTAAAGTGTATTTAAACTGGGAGCAAAATGTAGTGGCTGCATTAGTTTTCTCTTTTCTAGCTTTTTGTTTTTTTTCATCTGGTGATTCCACCAGTAACACACTTTTTGTCCTAGGCTGACAATGCTCAGTCATCGAACTGTATCTTTGGAGAATGAATGTTGTCACTGTACAACAGGACTACAGAACATTTCCCCTTCTCCATAACTAAGAGGGGAGGTGTTTTGTAGTCCACAGAGATAACTGGAAATAATGCACCTGACGAGTGCAGCATAGGGAGAGAGCCCAGGAAGTTACCAGCTCACAGGGTTTCTGGCAGGATCAACAGCACTTATCGAGCAGATAAAGCAAAATGCATCCAATGTTATATTTTCCAGAACAAAAGGGAGCAAGTAAGAGAAGTTTATTGTTAGGGTTTACATATACTTTATGTGTGACAAATAAATATTGAATATGCAGTTTTAATTATTCACTTGCAACAAGGTTTCCATTAAGGTAGTTAAATGAATTTATTGACATAACAATGTATCACAGATGTGCAGAAGTCAAAGTAGCTCATTGTCAGATTTCAGAAGCTTAAGGCCCCATTCGCAACAAATACATTAGCATTGTCAATAGATGTAAATGAATGCCAACGAAAGGTAACCTGAAAAATGTATGAGGGTGAATGTTACCAGTTCACCCTGCTGCATTGCATTGCTGCGCGCTGAAAAAAATGCTCTACTTTTTTCAGCACAAATAATGCAATACATCACAAACGGAATGCAAGTACAAAAAAAAATATATAGAAGTTTGTCCACTCAAGACATAAATTAATTAAATTATTAATTAATAAATTAAAATAAAGATTGGCAAAAAAAAAAAAAACCCAACAGGACAGAATCCAAGGGAAGTAAATGGAGGCTGAAACTGCAAGTTAACAGATCGCCGTTTACTTTTTCCGTCTGATTTTCTGTGAACAGCCCTTAAAACAATTAGGACAGTAAAAGCCAACTGCTGATTTATTTGCTTTTGCTCTATGCAAAATCAATTAAAGAACATTTTTGGCCCACAGTGAAGTCCTGTTAAATTAAAATAAACATTTCCAAACATATATATAGTTAACCTTCAGAGGGCAATATTAAATGGTATTTATGCTATATTGCCACATTTCTGCTACTATGTTAAGTCTAGTGTTTGCCAGTGAAAAGTGGAAGCTTTTACATTCATGAAACAACAATGTTGTACTTACTTGTGTGATGCTGTCCCTCATGGTTGGGGACCTTCCTTTTCTAGTGGTGGTGGTGGCCATTGTTGTAGTTGTTTCCATGATGGTGGTAGACATGTCAGCCAAAAGTGTAGTGGCTGTAGTCTCAGTGGTCATGACTGATGGAACCTCACCAACAAGCATAAGATTGCCTTCCGTCCTGATATTGGGGTCACTCTCTGCAGCTAGAGATAGAACCTTTAGCCCATTGTAATACAAGCCTGAGATCTGACCCTGGAATGGCCGTCCTTGGTCCTTTCCACCAACTTTGATAGCTGCCTGGCTGTTGAATATGGTGAGCTGCCGACCTGGAGGATAACAGGAGTGATGGCTCAATAACTTTTTTTTAGATGGCAGAATAAATTACCAATGCAATATGATACATAAAAGGGCTTTCTACCTACAGAAATGTTACATGCAGCATATCCCTTCATGTCCACAAATAATTTTTCAGCTCTGTCTGATGTTTGTGCTTAATACTGCTAAAATAATTGATCCATGAAAAAAAGTTTCTTTTAATATAATTTAAGGATTCAATATCTAACCAGCAAGCATTACATACATCACAGTTATTGTAGCTAAAGAAAAAGTACAGCTAAAATAAAGCTAATGATACCAGCTTAACCAAGTACCACTAAATAAACAGAATACCATTCCCAAATTGGTCAACCTGGCACTATGGTAGCTCAAGCACATAAGTTGTTCCTCATCATCATCAATAAGCAGGGTACATAAACACAATATAAAACTTTCTTGCCACAGTCCTGATACAAAAGCCATATAAAAGATTTTAACAAAAATACAGTGCAACATATTTTTATCTAATTTTTATTCGGGCTTTAACATACTGTATTTGTTGTTCACTTTTCTATGGAAATCTAGAACCAAACTTAATCTGACACTAAAACAAAATCCGGTGGACCTCGGTGGTCCTGTTCGGCCAGATTTTATGCATCATGCTGAAGCTTACCTCTTACACATTTTTTTTAGCTCGGAGATGAGAATACAAGGATCTCGTAGCATAACCCTTGGGACTAAAAGTAGAACTCCAGCCATAAATAACAGGCTAAAAATTATTATACCATTACAGATTAAAGAAAAAAGAAACGTGGCTGCAATAATCTCTTTCAATTCAGAGATGTCACCCACAGTACCTTTTTTTTTCTCATGTAGATATCCTAAGTCTGATGGGCAGCATCAATCACCCACCTTTAAGCCCAGGCCATCATGGACACACCCCAGCTTAGGACACTGTGACTGGATAGTGAAAAGCAGAAGCAACACAGTGAGCTCATCTTTCTATTGCTCTGCTTTCTTCTCTTATATGATATGCTGCTACTCAGTGGCATCACAAGGGGGATGCGGCACGCACCCGGGTGCCACCATTGGAGGGGGGGGGGGGGGGACACCAAAAATACTGACAGTCATTTTGGTGTCACCCCTATGAAAAGTCGGGCACTCGGTCATGGACCAAGAGCCTGACAGTGTCAGGAGAGAGGAGGGGACCCGGCGGCATACCTCATCCCGCAGGGTGAACATCCCCTCCTCTCTCTGCCAGCGTCCATCACCAAGATGGCCAACGGCAGGTGTCCATAAGATGAACGCGCATGCGGCCTTGGGATGCCCCTGCTGCTACTTCCTTTAATGCTTCAGCTCTGATGGACATGGATTACAAGAGGCTGAAATCAGGTTAAATTCAGATACACTGTTTGCACTAAAAATAATGTTGTATTTTTGATTACACAGCTTCATTACTTTGTGACTTTTATAAGTGCCTAGAGTTTAACTTTAATGCTCAACTCCAGCCAAAATATTTTTTTTATGTTGGATATAGCAGATAAGTTAGAGTCAGTTTATAACTTGCCAGATTTTAATTGCCATCTGTGATTGGGAATATTGTCTCCTACTTCCACACTTTCAGTAATGTTGGGAAAAGTTAGAACCTCTGAAAATGTTTTTATTATTGCCTTTATGCCCTGCCCCAGTAATCACTGCATCACCCTTTTCTTGAGAGGTGTCACATGGACAAGTTTATAAGGTCACAGACAGAAGTGAAAACCTAAGAGAAATGTTAACTCTTCTCCCCTCATGTGTTTCTATTGTATATAGATCTGTGGCTACTCCACCCTTCCTACTGTTTATTTATCATTCCTCCCACCAGTAATCTGGTAGGGATGGTAGGTCATTCCATTCTGAGGAATAGTTCTTTGCCTCCACTTGACTTTTCTTGGGTACACTACTCCCCAATCCCCTTCAAACATTATTCAATAGATACAAGGCCTGCTCAAGCAAACATTTAACTGCTCCCACTTTTAGATCTCACCCTTAGGGTGTGGGCATCCAAAAGGCTATTATCCTTGTGGACAAAATACATCCTCTGGAAAAATGATCAGCTACCAATATTGGCTACCATGCCAGACTGTGAAATTTGGTAGAGAACAAATGAATTAAGCAGCTCAAGATGGAAATTGTATAATGTAGATAATAACACCAACAAAACTTCTGTAAAAGTCCAAGTGTGTTTTTTATTAGTCAAGAAACAAGTTAACAGGCCAATAAAATAATCTCTATTCAATTTTGTATGGAAGGATTAAAGTAAAAATATGAAATAATAAAAAATAGAAATAAGTATATAGTAACATAGTAGGTAAGATTGAATAAAGACACAGGTCCATCCAGTTCAAACTATGTGTGAAAGTGTGTGTGTGGCTGTTATATATATATATATATGGCTCTAACACTTCCCATATCCCTGTAAGTGAAGTGAAAGAAGACACTCATCAAGACGTTTCTTGAATTTATCAACGTTATCAGCTTAGCAGATACCACTGCCTGTGGAAGGGAATTCCACAGTTTTACTACTCTCACAGAAAAAAAAACGCTTTACATAAGTAAATGTATTAAAATAATGTTTCTAAATGCATCAAATAAATAAAGGTGAATACAAGGTGGTATTTTATCATAATTGTGTTATGTTTTGTCAAGAAGGGGTTCTTTTTTTGTTTTGAAACACATTCCCCTGTTTTTTGACTAATTACTGAACATGCCTGGACTTTTAGAGATGTTGGTTTTGTGAGCTGTTTTTCTACCTGCATTCTTTCAAAAACACCACCTTTAGTCTTTTTTAGGCTCATGTTATTACACTTTAAATATAGTGGACCAAACAGACTCTTTATTAGTAGACCTAAAGTACTGGGATAGGGTGCATCACATCTATCAGAAGGACGGTTAGTTTTTCTTAATACAGTTTTCTGGCTTTTTGAGTAGTGCCATAATTTCCAAAGGAATCATTCTACTGTCTATGGACTTTCCATATTCTAGGTTTTTAGTGGTCATTATTTTGCATAATTTTAGGGAAGTCTCAGTTGCCCTAGAACCCAGGACCTACTTACTAATTATGATATCACTTTCCATAATAGATAAATATACAATATGTTTTTACATTAGCTACCCCCTTCCAAGGACCTCTGGATTTAAGCTATTGAATGCAACAATACAGTCGCTATATCTTTTCAGACCCAATATTCCATGGGAACCACGGTGCTCAGCGTAAGTCTCTGCCGGAGCCAATCAGCAAAATGAAGTGGAAAAGAACTGGCACTCGTAGGAATTCTCTTAATGGCATCTCTTCATTGAAAAGGCATAAAAGCAACTACAAAGATTGCTAACATGTTTCAGTCCCCCAAGGGACCTTAATCATATCAATAAAATACAAAAATAAGAGCAATAAATACAAATACATAAGCGAACCGACAAAACCCTCCTACATGTGTGCACATATACCTGGTGAGTTAACCCCTTCAATGCTAAAGCAAGAAATAACAAATGAAGGCAATCCATCTTGCCTTAATTTAAAGCATATATAGCAAGGTTTCAACACAAGGCATGTTGTTATATATAGCAGGATTTCAACACAACACGACATCATATATGGACATAAATATAGACTCATCTATCCCTGTAATAAAACAGAACAGATATATGCCAATGCATAAATGCATATGTAGCGCTCACCCCCGAAGGAGCCATCAGAATAACCCGGGCATTTCTGTCCCCAAGCCAAATTGCACCACCCAAAAAACGATCTGCAGCACACCAACACACCTTGGAGAGTTTTGTAAGCAGTTTTACTGAGCAAATATATAGATTTTGTCAAGAATTGCATATAAGGACACAATAATTGAAGGAACAATAGTCAACAGTATACATTAAGTATTCAGACACTGAGCAAACGTTGCTATCTATATGCTGTGGTGTGCAGTCCTGAACTATCTCAGAAACTATCTTTGATTTTGAGCACTCGATTGATAATGTATCAGTCCCAATCTCCAACTCTCTAAACTACTGGCCAGTAGCAATAGTCTAGGCTTGCCATCATTGGGGCCCATGCTGTGTTGATGATATGAATTGCAGAAATAACACAAAATGGCCAGAGGCCTCTCACCACTCCTCAGGTCAACCTTGTAGCTGTGATGTCCATCAGCAAGAGACAGGCATCCCTTTTCTCTCATGCCAACACTTTTTCTGGTCCTGAAGTCATCTGCGGTCCCTTGAAGAAGATCCACGGTCACTGAGCGTAGCAGACCAGGCTAAAGTCTCTCTTTATTTAGAGGCTCTTCAGTCTGCTTGCACTCTCCCAGACAGCACACACAGCGTCTGTGGCCACCTCTGCATTAGCAGTTGCCACACAGCTGTGTCTCCTTCACAGGGTTCTCCCAGACGCTCAGCAGCCCCAGCCCAGAATAACCCCATATCTACCAAAACAGTCTCCTGGGAACTGCAATCTCTACGCTCTCACACAGCATGGCTTGTCCCAGTCTCTGCACTGCAACAAGTCTCTGCATCGCAGGCTGTGCAAAGGTCAGTTAACTATTTACAATCATAATACTAGTTATTCACACATATATCTATATATCTACAGATATATAGATATATATATTTCCTGACACCCTGCATGGCAGCATACAATGGGTATGGCTCCGCCCACAGCCCAATCACAGGACCAGTTATACTATAAATTAAAGCCCGGCTCCCAAGGTCACCATTCTTTTTTCTGTCCTCATTGCTCAAGCTGGTTATACTAAGAATATGTTTGAGTTTTTGCCCTCACCTTGCTGTTTTTTTTCTGGCTTGCCGCACAGGTTCAGCCACCCCTGTTGCGAAGTTCCCTTTGTTCAGGTGGCCAAATGCATTCTTATAAGGGAACCCTCCCCCATAGGCTTGGAGTTGGGGTGCAGTAAATGGTCTCTTGGGATCTCTTCATGTTCGTATGCTTCCTCCATCAAGGCGGCGGGTTGAACACTTGCTT